CGCACTGCTGAGGAGCCCCACAATACGACGAAACGGCCATCCAGTGCTTCCGGGTTTTTCATAGTGTTCTAGCTTCAATTGATTCATGATCTCAACAATTGAAAGTTTTAATGTCAAGACCATTCAATGAATTACTTACAAACTGAATTTATTTATACAACAAATAAAAACCAGAAGCTCTAAACACCTTATAAGGAAATCACATGTAGTGTGTACTCGCGAACCGTCACAGGTGATTGAAGCCATCATCTTAAATTTCTAGTAGAGTCGTTAATCTCTAGATCACCGCGTCGATAACACATAATATACACATATAACTTTAGTTAATTGTCAATCAAAGATCAATATATGATGAAAACTATGAAAATCTTATAATCTTCACAAACTCCCATATATTAATTACTGACCTAACAAATATTATATAAGATGATTACATCGAAAGGAGATTAAATAACAATTTTGAAAGTATAGAGTATAAGTAATGCCTTGAAATTTCCTGTTGAAAACTAGTAACTCCATATGGAACATGTATATAAGCTAAATTCATTCATCTAGATATTATGATTTATAAAATTTCAGCTAAGGCTACCTGTCTCTACCATCTAGATATTTCAAAAGGTTATCTATTAGGCCTACTATTCGCATAACCTATTCAGTTATGTTTCTGAGAAGTACACAACTTTTCATTGTACAAGTTACCAACAGTGCAATCAGAGATATCATGGTTACTGGCATTACGCATCGAGAAAGCAAACATACATTATTCACATTTCGATTAACTGGACTGCTAACATCGAACTGGCGATCACTCAATATTTATCGTCAGGATCAACCAAGAGGTAAGAAACGGAAACTCGCTAATGTACTTTATTCTGAGAATTCTATATTGTACCAAAAATATAATATTGAATAAAGTCATTAAAAATAATAATAATAATCAGTAATAAAACTTTTCAGTAGTTGAGATCATGAACAATTGATGACCGTTTTGTCCCAGTATAGGACTCCTCAACAGTGTGCAACCACTATCCTGAACCCAGGACCTATCGATCTCGCGTGTGCGAACGCTTAACCTTTAGATCACTGAACCGGCCGGTGTCAGTGTCTAACTTCAACTAATTCACGAACACTTTTATTCATGAAAAACACTTACGGATCTCATAAATCATAATTAATGTAAATATAAATACCAAAGAATATCGAAATTCCATTAAGACTTCAATTTGTAATACAATATCACTTTAAATGTATATATAAATGAATGAATAAATCTGTTTAAGCAGTTCACTGTACTCATAAACAGTTTGTTTCCTTTTCTCTTTTTCTTTCTTTCTTCTTGTTTCTATGTGCTGAATTGTGCAAAAACGACACCTACGTATGATTCACTACTCTCTACACTAATGACTCTTGAAACTAAACAAACAAAAAAGTGAAAAAAATCGAAAATATTTCATTTGTAAATATCTGAATGTAACTAAGCAAATGTGATAAGCAAAGATGGATAGTGACTAGCAATGGAATTCAGGACGCGAGTTTCATCCTATTTGAGACGCGTCAACTGAATGTACCTGTATCTCAGAGTTGATGATCACTCTGAGACTCGAACTCGTTTCACAACACTATCGCGTTATTCACTTAGTTATTTAGCCCTGATAACCACTTGCTTGTGTAATTGGATGAAGTTTAAATTCATATTACTGGATTCCACTGTTAGCCAGTATCAATCTTGGATTATAATAAAGGCAATATCAAGGCAATACGTACACTATGCACATATGCCAATAAGAGAGAGACTGATCAATTGCAGTGCTAAACATCAATGGCAAGATTCAAATAAGCAATACCAAATGAATTTCATTCAAATGTTGTTTTAATTTCAGTTTTCCAAATATTAATGATTTACTAGTAGAGCTATAAATCATCTTACTTGTATTGTATTTCATGAAAAACCACAGATGAGCTGAAATAATAACAGATTTCATCTCAGTAAGTGTTGAAAGATGGTAGAGAAATCTGATGAGAAGTAGTCTGTCGGTTCAGTGAAATGTCAGTAGGCCCTCACCAAATTATCCGGCAGTTGGATCACTGAATATCGAAAAGATCATCAATCTGCGTCAAGATCAAGGACTGGCCCATTCGGTGGTGATCAAACTTTCGCTTGTACTTATTCTTACCAATATATTTCTGTATTAACGTCCTTGGTGTTGTACGGTCTTCAAAACAGCCACAGTATTTTGATACATCGAGGTAGAAATACACGTTAGACGCTGACCGCGAGGTGTGAGTTCGAAGTTTGCCGTTGGTCACACCATTCACATCTAACTCAAGTAGGCTCCTAATCATTCAACATAGATCATCTACGTTGGTGATCTACAAGGTCGTTCAGTGCAGTAAAATTGCTTGCCGATATTTGATTTATAATAATAAAAATGAGAGTTGGCTATATTCTTCTAATACTTTGATAAGACGTAATCAAACTAACTCAGTTAGTTGAACGATAGATCGCACAGAAAAAAACCCGGTATAGTTCAATGCAAAGAAGAAGACTAATGTGATAAATAAACATCCATAATATAAACAAACATAACCGCCTTTTTATGCACCAATTTAGTACACTGATATGCTACACAGAACCATCTTGGCCGAAAACAACTTGACATTGATATATTCTGATCTATTATGATTTTGACTGAACAAAAAAATATATTCTACATTATTTCTTTTGTACTATCTAAATTTATGTTAATTTTGTTTCGGTTATTTATTTACTGCATCACGAGGCAAGCACTAATTTGAGATCCTAAAGGGAAGCGGAAAAGTGGAAGGCCAAAGAACACATTACATCGGGAAAGATTGAATATAAGGATATAGTGCAGGAAGAAAGAATTAGTTCGTAGAAAGAAAGATATGAAGCGATTTTAGTCTAATAGTTTAAAGGAAGACAGAGATTGCATACACTGACGCCTGTGTGATTGATTCTCAGCCATGTCACCCAGAGTCTCCAACCATTGGTTACGATAGTCACGTGGACCCAAACCAAGTAGTCTGCATCTACCAACATAGCTCAGACTAGAAGTTAATGACTTCAAGCACTGATGCCACATTTTAGTGTGACCACCCGTTAATTGATTCGATGATTCATTCATTCCCTCAAATACATACATATACATTTAATCCTATTCACTCGACTCGCTAACTCACTCACATTCGCCTCTCCGCTTTGTGGTCTGAGCTAATAAACTGTAGTTGATGCTTCTCTTTGCCCTCTGATTCCAAACACCGTTGAGGTTTATATAATAAAGGTTACGAGGGTGATTGATTAACGAAGTACAGCCACTACAAGATCATTTATTATTTACTAATTAGCGGTGACAAACGTGTGTAACAAGTGTTTACCTTGATATTACCATTGAATTCATCTACAGTATTTAAGATACTATTAATTATCCTATTCTGAAAACATTGTTGATAAAAACTAAACACTAGTCACCACTAACCTGGTACCTTAATTAATTATAAGTAAAATATGAGCAGACTTCAATTGTAATTTGTGAAGTAGTATTTACACCAGTTAGTAATACAGTTAATATCAGATGGGTTTTTGTGGAGATTGTAGTAATTTCAATGGTTAAGATCATGAGTCAGTTGAAGCTAGACCACCATGGAAAACCTGGAAGCATTGGGCGGCCGTTTCGTCCTATTGTGGGACTCCTCAGCAGTGTGCATCCACGACCTCGCCCCCTGCGAGATTCGAACCCAGGACCTACTGGCTTCACGAGGTATATCCCGGAGTTCTAGTGAGAAGTCATGACCAGTGGAGTTCAAACAGGTCTGTTGTGAGATAGTAAGTCATTGAACACAATAGTTGATGTTTCGCTCGATTTCGTGGATTAGCTGAAATTAGACATTAACACCGTTGGATGCCGGCCGGCTCAGTGGTCTATCGGTTAAGTGCTCGCGCGCGAAACCAGTAGGTCCTGGGTTCGAATCTCGCAGGGGGCGAGGTCGTGGATGCACACTGCTGAGGAGTCCCACAATAGAACGGAACGGACGTCCAGTGCTTCCAGGTTTTCCATGGTGGTCTAGCTTCAACTGACTCATGATCTTAACCATTGAAAGTAATACAGTTGTTGTGAAACTATTTCGGTAAAACAATATCTTACAAAACTGAAATTGAACAAATGTAAACAGTAATAATCGATAGAGGGTTGTGAAGATTATTAAGCTTTTGGTTGAGATCATGAACTGATTGATGTTAGAATGCCATTGAAAACCTGGAAGCACTAGACTGTCGTTTCGTCCTATTGTGGGACTCTTCCTTGGCAGTTCACATCCACGATCCTTTGGATGCCGGCAAGCTTACTGGTCTAGAGGTTAAGCGTTTGCGCAAGAAATTGAAGGCCCTGGGTTCGAATTCCACGAGACGTCATCGTGCATACGTATTGCTCAGGAGTCCCACAATAGGATGAAACGGCCGTTCAGTGCTTCAAGGTTTTCAATCATGGTCTAGCACCAATCAGTTCATGATCTCAATCATAAACAGTAATATTTCAGCATTTAGTATTTGTCAGAGGGGGTTTTGTGGAAATTTCGGTAATCTAATAGTTGAATTCATGAGTTGATTGATGCACTGGAAGACCATTTCATCCTATTATGGGACTCCTCAGTAGTGTACATCCACGATCCCGCCCGTACAAACGCTTCACCTCTAGACCACTAAACCAGCATCCAACAATGTTAGTGTCTAATCAGTAATTGATTAATCCTATAAGTATTAACAATTTCAATTCTAATAACTTTACCAACTAGAATACAATCTTACTCACTTATGAATGTGTATTTGTAACAAATGAATACAAATTGTAACTAATTGTTGTAATTTTACGTAGGTGTTCATGAATTACTTACTTTTAATACACTATCATATGTTTATTAGATTATAACCAGAAATCAGTTACTTGGATATATATTACTTTTTTTGTTTGTTTTCAGTAACAAAAATGATAATGAATACAAAATCATTGACTATATCAATGTTTATCATGACTTTGTTAATGAAGAGATGTAAGTACTATAACAGTATGTCATTTATTGATTGATTACATATTCTATACATGTTGTAAACTAGAAAGTATTACATAACATCTTGATATAATATGAGAACCATACATTGAATACTTCATTTGTACATTCCCTTCAACGGTCTTTTACATTTTGTATGATTCCTTCTATTCACATTTCTATTCTCTTTCATTTCATCTTGTTAAGCTTCTACTGCTAGAGTTTCCACTTCCACTTGGTTTAATGTCTGCTGATGTAAGTAGCATACACCATATACAGACTGGTCAGTTCTCTTTTTAAAAAGATTAATATCCCGATTTAAATTAGTGATAGCTTAAAGTGCAAATCAGGTATCAAGCATCAAAAAAATTCAATGTACAACCCCGTAGTAATGTGATGTGTGCTACTTATTTTGATATGGGTAGTATATAACCATAGTCAGGATTAGAATGTTTGGCAGCTGGGTGACAAGGAAAAAACGGGAACAGAAAGTAATTAACATGAAACTGCAAGAACAATGAAGTCTGAGATGATTGACTAATATTTGCAAAAATAATAGCCCAGCTGATGAGTCTCAAAATAGGACGAAACGCGCGTCTTGGATTCCACTGTTAGCCCCTATCCGTCTTTGATTAAAATGTTGATATTGTTATGAACAATAAACTTAAAATAAAGATTAATGACTTAGTGTTTAATATAATGTTTTCTTCTATGATTTTAGCTGATCCAAGGTAAGCGCAAATCAAGATTTCCATACATAACATTCTTTCCTTTATTACTATTAAATTAAAACTGTCTATAGTTGATGATGATTATAGAAAATGGAGAATACTAACTTACCAAAATGGAAGACCTGAAGGCACTGGAAGGCCGTTTCGTCCTAGTATGGGACTCCTCAGCAGTGGGCATCCAGTATCCCGCCCGCGGGATTCAAACCCAGAATCTATCGGTCTCGCACGCGAACGCTTACGAAGACTTAACAATGTTAGAGACACTGTATTACCGTTATATCACTCAAATGATGTATGATCTTGTTTGATAAGCATTCTTATTTCAGTCCGACGATTAATGCAATAATGTAAGTCATTTTTATTAAAATAGGTAATTAAATTCGAATTCATTTGATTGCATCTTTTAACTATTCTTAGTATTGAATAACCGTAAACGGTAGATGTGAATTCTCATTCTTTTGCAGTTCATCAAATGAATTTTAGTTCTAGATGTTGATAACCTTGAGTTATTATAATATTACTAAATAGTGAGATGTGAGATTATGTATTATAGCTGTTGAAAGTTATGTCATACAATCGATATCACTCACTGGAATATTTTCTGGTAAATATATGGTTTGTTCTCTCCCACAGTAGGTTGGTTTTACTGATAGTGTCTGATCAACGGGTCCGAATTACTTTGCGTAGACAACTGTTAATAAACACTTGTATATTGTGGATGATTGCTTTCGTAGCTCTCTAAATTCCAGTTCCATACAGTGGAACTGTCTTGATATTTTTATTGAAAATTCTGAATTTGGTGTTTGTTGAGAGTTGTTTCGAGTTCCGGATATTAGTAGATATGCTGCTTTTGCTTTTTGATAGTTAACCTAAACGCAATTTTGATGACTTCCTTTGGTAGCCTAACTCATGGTATATAAATGAATTTTGTGTAAATGAACATTTCACAGGTTGTAATCATGAGTCAGTTGAAGCTAGACCACCATTGAAAACCTGGAAGCACTGGACGGCCGTTTCGTCCTAGTATGGGTGGTCTAGCTTCAACTGACTCATGATTACAACCTGTGAAATTTACTAAAAATCTCCACAAAACTCATTCTGATAAATGAACATTGTTAAATAATATTTCAGCAAAGACAGATGGAAGAAATTGTAAGTTAATTCAAATTAACGTTTTACTCCTAAACGGGATGGGGTCGCTAACCCAATGCCCAACCCTCTTCCTTTATCCGGGCTTGGGGCCGGTTGTAGCCCAGAGGGGCTGTAGATGGAGTTATTATTATTATTATTAGTCAATCTGTTTCAATCAGATTTCAAATATAATCAATCAATATTCTTGTATTTTACAGTTTTACTGGCTGAAAGTAGTATTTGTAAATATTATGTGTAATTTATACAGTTCGTATAGCTGAAAGACCGTTATTCTGAATCTTTGCAAATTTTCACGATTTTGTATGCCGAACCTTGGATCTAAGCTGTATAAGTTAATTAAGAAGGTGTGTTTTATGGCGGAGAAGTTTTGTGGATCATAAGTGTTTGGCGTTTAAGGCGAAAAGAACTGTGTTAAACATAAACTCTTAGATACAGAAACATCCAAACTGACGAGCCCCAATTAGGATAAAACACACGTTCTTGGTTCTATTTTATAGACTACTTATTTTGAAGTGATCTATCAGTTGTATATATACGTCAGTCGTACATCAGGTTAGTTGCGATTCAAAGGGTTCAGTGTTAATGTCTCTAACTGTGAATGAAGGTGAAATGTGATCGAATTAATCCAAAAATATCGGTCATCTCATGATTACAGACCCATCTGGATGAAGAGCATAATGTAACCAACAACCTATTTATAAAGTTTCTAACTGACTACCTTCAACGATCACCTCAAATACAAAACTAGTGATATACACATTATTCAATTGGTTTTAAATACTACTATTCAGTTTGATAAGGCAGGAGAATGAGTAAGTTCATTTTAATTAGAGTCACTTATCTTGTTGTTAAAAGACATATATGAATCAACAACTTCTGATATATTGAAATTAAGAAGTAGAATTCTTTTTTGTATACCAACTTTGCTTCTTATTAATTTCCTTTCAATTTTTAATCTCATTCTAATATTAGTACTGTTCTAGTTGGCTCGGATTTTCACGACATCAGTACGAATTTTCTGCTGTTTCAAATATGGGACCCCTCAGCAGTGCTCATCCACGATCCATGGCGTTTAGTCTCACGGGCGGACGCTGAACCTCTAGACCACTGAACTTTCCGGCATCCAATGGCGTTAATGTCTAACTTTAACCAATCCACCATATTGCGTCACCGCTCACTATTGTCTTCAGTCAGTAACTTTTGGGGGTTTCCCCGCGTGGGTTCGAATCCCATCCCCGTCGCCAATTGTTATGTTTCGTTATTGCTTGAATGCGATTACTGATGCGTCTTACTCGAAACGGAACGAAGGATCAATGATTCAGCGACTCGATAGACTATTCTGGTCCGTTGTCCCCAACTCTGCTAACTCGATCAAGAAGTCTGGGTAAGGTGTAGAAAGTGTATTCTACAGACAAACAGCAGATAACAAGTCAGGCAGGCAGATCAGATCAAGCATACAAGTCAAGCGTATTTATACAATTATTTACAATCGATATTGTCATAGAAGATTTTTGAACATTAATCAACAATTGACTGCTATTTGAACATTTAATCGATAGTTCATCAATTGACCTATTTGTACATTTAATCGATAGTTCATCAATTGACCTATCTGCACATTTAATCGATAAGTAAATTACAAAATTTGAGTTTTGGGGATTTATCGTCCCCAACAGTAACTGCTTCTACAACGCACACTAGAACTTCAGGAAACTCATCTTGAAGCCAGTCACTAATGAGCACAGTATAGGGTGATGTATATTTTTGGGTTTCAATTGATATTATGAATGGATGAATCGTAGACCACCATTGAAAACCTGGAAGCATCGGATGGCCATTTCGTCCTAGTATGGGACTCCTTAGCAGTGCTACCATTGCTTCCACTGGTATTCTCGTACACAACATTACTGTATGTTTTAAAGCTTTTCAATCGCTTGCGTTGGTTTATAAAACATTACCCACGACATCTACACACTGTGTCAAGTAGATATTTTGTTCGCAAAAACATTATGACCTCGTGAAGATATAAAGTAGTTTATCATGTATAACAGACATTATTCATAAAACAAACATTATCATACTAGTTTCAGCGTTATTATCACATGTGAAATAATTATGAGTGGTTAGAAATCATTCACAGTTACTCAGTACTGAATAATTATCCACTTTCACTATCCTGTCATAGTTATCCAGCTAATGTACATCTATACTGTTAACAACCTGATTACTTTAATACTAAACATCTCTAACTAAACTCTTTTATGTAAGTAAATTAAATTCATTTTGTAATTATGATTTTAAATATCACAGGTTGTAAACAGCGGACATTTAGAAAATTAAAGTGAAACTATAATTTATGAACGACCTTTGAACGACGCTAAAATGACCTTGTAAATATCCACCTAACAACTAGGACCAAATGAAGATTATAAACTAGTTTAAGAAAACCGAATTATGATTTACAGTTTATAGTTAAAGTTAGAGATTAGATCTACAGGTTGTCATCACAAACTGACATCAGCTATAATACCAAACTTCTATTTACCCTAATGAATGAGTGAATTTCGCGTCAAAAACCGAGACCTGTTATCTTATATCTGATGGATTGGTTCATTCATAAATTATAGTTTCGCCGGAATTAGAACACTCATAGGTGTGTACAATCCAACTATTCAAAAAAAGTAACCTTAAATAGACCAAAAGAGAAGTAATTTTGTACTGTATTATCTTGATAAGTGTCAATAAATCTGTCATAATTATGACGCCATCAAATCATTCTCTTTTTTTTTTATCAAATTTAAGGGAATTTTGGTATAACTTCTTGTAAGCTTAATTATAAATTGATTTATTAATTCAATGTTAAAGAGTGCAATCTGAGTTTATCGTCTATTCACAGAAATGATGTAATATAAAAGATAAATAAGAACCCTCATCAGTGTCTATCCATAATCCCGACTCGCGAGATTCAAACACAGGATCTATCAGTCTCGTACACGAGCAGTTAACCTCTAGAACACTGAAGTTGCTGGCATCCAACAATGTTAATATCGAACTTCAACCAATTCACGAAATTCAGCGACACATCCACCATTGTCTTCAATGAGTTAAAATCTCATAACAGATCCAGTTGAACTCCACTGGTCACAGCTTCTCATTAGAACTCCAGGTAATAACTCTTGGTGACAATCACTAGTGAGCATATGATGATTAAAATCAGAGTGAGTTTTAGTGGAAATTGTAGTAATTTAATCATTTAATTCTCCTTCACGAGGAGTAACAGACGTAAGTAAACCACTAAATCACTGTGTATTCTCGTTCACTATAATGTAACTTTCATAGGGCTTGACAAACAGAACACATTAACTTTAATTCATATATAAAATGAACAAACTTGTAATCATATTCCTTTACAATTTATTCATAGATTTACTTTCATTATATTTATTTAGTGAACTTATTCTAACCTGGCTTGAATCATGCTATTTTAAGGGATCTCTATGGAGAGCAGCACTGTTTCCTAATGAAACAAATTGAATATAAAAGAAGAATAAATCAATACAAATCAATATTGTTACATAATCTGATGAACATATATGCTACATTTTCAAATTGTTAATCACTATATGATATTATGGTAAAACGTGTTCTATTGTTAACGTGTAATAAGTGACTTCAAGGACTGTTGCCATGTTTTGGTTTGGCCGCTCCTAACTTTCTACTATCCACCTTCAACACTAGTTAGCATTGCGTGTCATGGAAATCGGTGTTTAGGCATGCGTAACACGTATCCCAAGCATCTCAGTCGATAACGATTCACAACCCCATCAACTGATTAATCATTATTGCCTAATACCCTATGTCTAACCTCAATTTTACTTACCCAGTGATCTCAGCAGATGCGAGCAATATTTCCAAAACATCTGTGATCAAGTACTAGTAGCCTACAAGCATCCTCTTCCATTAATGACCACAGTTCGTAACCATAAAGTAGAACAGAACAAACTGCTGTGCAGTATAGTCGTCCGTCCCTGAAACCTTCTTATTCACTTATATATGCATATGAATTCTTGGTAAAGCATAGCACTGAAAAACAGGATGCTTCATTTGGCAACATTCCCTAATACCCTACGTCTAACCTTACTATTACTTACCTGGTGATCCCAGTAGATGCAAGCAATATTTCTAAGGCATTTAGATGGAAAAGTTAAATTAGTTTTAGAATCCAATTAAAATCTTTAATAATAAAACAAATTTCAATTCGCTGAGAACATTGATAATCATGTCTTTCATATAATCTACGATAAACTGATACCTCAAGTGATAACAGCGGTCAGTGAATATCGACGGCAAGAATAATGAATCCATGATGATAATCACTAGCATGGTTTAACACGTGAAAACAGTGAAAAGTGGTGACTTAGAGCTTAAACATTACAGGAGATGAAAAGACTTGAATAATAGCACTGTACAACAAATCAACACATATAGGAAATAATCAGGCATCCAGGCGTTCACAGTAAGACTGTTCAAGTTATTTTCTTTGATGAGTAGTAAGTACGTACTTCAGAATGGTTCCATAACACAAAGAAACAACTTCACACAACACTTTCTACTGTTCCACACTATTACAATCAATGTCGATATGATAACAGTAGTAATGGAATTACGTGTAATATGAAACATGCATCTGAAATCACTCACAATTCATAGGAGTTAGGAAGGGAAACATAAACTTAACAGATAGTTATTGAGATACATTAGCAAAATAATTATCTTATTGAAGTTACTGGCCACGTAATCAGGTATTCGGTTTGTTTAGTTCACGAGTAACAAGTACAGAATAAATTGACGTGAATGATTATAAAGCAGCTATATGGTAAATCAATGATAAATATCCATTGTTTCGTGTATATGTCAATTCAAAGTGCTATTCTCATTATTAAGAATAATTAATACATCAAACAAGTGAAGTTTCATTTCATAGATCAAACCACAATAGGATGGAAACCATGAGGAAATGTTTGTTTTGGAGACAACTCCCCCCCCCCCAATGTGATCACTTTCTACTGATTCTTAATGTCTCATAGTTTTAATAGAGTTCTATTGGAAATTGAAATTCAAAACTGACGAACGATACTGCAAATGTCCGATGAATGCCTGTTTTCATTAAATATTCTCTGTATTCTCAATCTTTGATAACAGACATCTCCTATCTTACAATGTATTTGCAACTATTCAATTGATAATTAGTAATACCAATATTTTAAGTTGGTGTATATGCTTTAAGTTGTCAACAGGATTGATAACATGTATAAGTGAATGAATGAATCATTTAATGTATTCAGACGATATTGTTGTTTGATTGTTTGAGTGAAATACTGTATGAGATAAATCGACCACACTTAGTGAATAAATGGTTCAAGAATTCCATATATTATTTTTCAAATATACAAGAATTTTAATCAGAGAGATGTTTTGTAGATATTAAAGTAATTTAATAGTTGAGTTCATGAGTCAATTGAAGCTAGACCACTATGGAAAACCTGGAAGCATTGGACGGCCGTTTTGTTCCATTGTACAACTCTTCAATAATGTGCATCCACGATCCCGCCGGGTTCCGGCTAGTGAATAATTCTCTCATTGTTATGGTTGATATAGTAAATTAACTGTAGTCAGATACCATCTCACTTTAGATCCAATCAAGTTAGCAATTTATGTCGTTTAAATTAAGTAATTTTGATCATTCCGTAATAGATTTTTCTACTTATTGATGCGTGGGTGAGAATAGTCTAACGTTTAGATAGTCTGACAGGAGTTAGATGAGTTATATAATTCCCCAATCCTTATTATTGATTGTTCATTTTTATTGGATTGTGTCGGGTTTTTGGTGTGAAGATATATTCACATTCTAGTCACGTGTTCCTGATCTGAGTTGTGTTGACGTCCTGTAGAATAAACACTGGGAGGGAATCTACTGTAGATATACGTGTAAACGTGGAAGCCCAACCGTTATAACATTTATGTTTTGAATCCATGTATTATGAAATAAGTCGAAACATTTTTACGTTAAGTTTGAAACGAGAACTTATTGAAGACAAACAAAACCTAAATAACCTATTTAGACTTAGATACATTCAGAAATAACATTTCTTAGGGTTTTATTAGGACAAAATATGGTGAATATACACAACAGCTAACAAGTTTCACGAATCCAGTATCGTTTGTTATAAACATTTCTAAAATAATCAGAGAGGAGTTTTGTAGATATTAAAGTAATTTAGTAGTTGAATTCATGAGTCGATTGAAGCTAGACCACAATGGAAAACCTGGAAACACTGGACGGCCGTTTCGTCGTTGTATGGGACTCCTCAACAGTGCGCATTCACGATTCCGACTTGCGAGATTCCAACCCACGACTTATCGGTCTTGTGCACGACCGCTTAACCTCTAGATCACTGAACTTCCCTACATCCAACGGTGTTAATGTCTAAACTCAACCAATTTACGAAACTGAGTGAAAGATTCACCGTTGTTTTCAATGAGTTACTATTTCACAACACACCCAGTTGAACTCCACTAGTCACTGTTTCTCACCGGAACTCCAGGAAATACATCTTGGAGATCGTCGAAATGGGTGTCCAGTGCTTCTAGGTTTTCCATGATTATCTAGCTTCAATTAACTCATGATCTCAACTATTATAATTGTAATGAATCTTAAGAATCAAGTTTTACATAACTAATTAAATGGTAATGAAACAAACATACTTAAGTATGAAATCGAATTCATGCACTTGAGATAATCATTCAATAACACTTTACGTGTATAGATGTGATAATATAAGTTACATTGTATATTCGTAATGATGTTGTTCTTATTTGTGTGTGTGTGTGTTTATGTGTAAACAAGGTTGTAAAATATAAAGTACCTAATTGTTTACTAAACATACTCATGTTTAGACTTGGTCAGTATTTACTCATTTTGTCAGTAATTTCTATATTGCTCAAATCATGTAAGTTCATTGACACTCATAAGGAAATATATTCTATTCAGCTATTGTAATATTGTGTCCATTGGTAATACTGTCTATAAGTTGTCTAATTGTTATGTCATCAATAATCACTAATAGAAATAATCATGGTAGATACTTTGAATCAATCTATTATTCATATAATGTCACTATCTAAAGAAGAGATATCCAATTCACTAGAACATGATATGAAATTACAACCAATGGGTTGAATATAGAGAGTAGTGTTCTTAACATCCAGTCATAGGATTATTTAATAATTCACAAGGAACTGTTGCAATACTATTCGATATACATTGTTAACTTAATCATGCCCAACCCTCCTCCTTTATCCGAGCTTGGGACCGACAGTAGCCCGAGAGGGGCTGCACATGGAGTTAATCTACAACTTTATTAGTTCCTCTATTTTTCGGTTTTCCATTTGATTCACTAAAAGGTCACGTTCATTGGGTATATGTGAAATCAGTCAATTAGTGAGGATTGGTCTTTATCCAGCTTTCTTTTGTTATAATGTGTCATGGAAATAATAAAAGGGATCCAAAATCAACTTTCAATGAACCTGATCAGAATGAAAACACAGTATCAATCATTTTAGTTAAATAATGTTAATACACTTGATATTGTCTACTTGAATCTTCCCATTGATGTTTTGCGATTGTAATTGATCTGATTGGCATATGTGCATCCTGTATGGATTGCCTCGATATTGTCTTAAGTCACAATCATTCCAAGCAAAGATGGATAGTGGCTAGCAGTCGGATCCAGGACGCGCTTTGTGTTCTATTTCAAGCGGACGGTCCCAGAGAGAACATCAACTCTGATATGCAAGTGCATTCAGCTGACGAGTTCCAAATAGGACGAAACACGCGTCAAACTGGCTAGCTTCTGGCTTATCATCATGGCCTATAATAATAATACGTTTAAAGTTGTAGATTCAAGGTATTGTGGTTACGGAGAAAAGACATTATATGCGGAAGATCTATTTAGTTCATTGAAAGCATATCATAACTTGAAAAGTTGTCTAATGAAATCCTTCAGAGAAAAAACTCTTTAACTTGTAAGCTGTCATTGTCTTTTCCAGCCGCCTCACCATTTGTGGATGTTCTGAAACTAACTACACTGTCTGGGTCACATGAATGTCTATTTATAAATTCACTTGATTTTTTAAAGCAACTTACATTGACCTCACAAAGTGATCACTTTCTAAACTCATCTCTGAATATTACTCTGAGAGACTACCATGGGGAACCGGAAAGCACTGGGCAGCTGTTTCGTCTTAGTATGAAACTCCTCAGTTGTGTGTGTCCACGATCCTGCCCCTTGGGACTATATTATTCCCTTTCATCAAATTTTTGAACATTCAGAAACTTTCTTCCTACTCATACTATGATTTAATCATTCTACTATGCTTCAACATACTACTTTAGTTGTTAATTAACTGTAAATACAATTCCACAGCTCGTTAAATGATATTGTCTAAAAGAAAGTTTGTTTTAATGGATTGCCTTTCATTCTTTTTCAATGACACCATGGGTTAGTTTTGTTATTACTTCTTTGTTCTAAATAATAGGTGATGCGAGGTAAGCTTTCCTTTTCCTTCATAGAGTACTCTATCTGTTTATTTGAATACACAGTTATATAATATACCCTTGTGATCCAGGGTAATTTTACATTTTACATTTTTCAGGAGAACTGGACACCATCTAGACTTTCTAGTGACAACCTAAACAGTACAGCTCAATCCCGTTTAACAGAAGAGCCAGACAACGCCTAGGCTTAACCCGAGTGGTATAGCTTAATCCCGTTTCGCAGGAGGGTCAGACACTACCTAGGCTTAAAATTTGCAGCCCAAATAGTACGATTCAATCCCGTCTCCAGGAGAACCAGGCACCATATAGGTGACAGAGTTGTAATGATGTTGTCAATACCAGTGACGTTTAGGCAGTTATTTTTTTTAATTTGTATAATCTATCCAACTTCATCTACAATTATACTTTTGATGCTTCATACCGAATTTTAGTTTCTTAAAATCGATGTGGGAAAAGTGAGTATTTCCTAAACCTGTTGCTTTGGTCAAAATAATTATCTGAAATCATTTTTCGTCTTGTAACATAAAGGTGATTTAAGAGTCCTATTGAATATGATGATTATCATTGTTCGTATTTCGGATTTCGCTATTACCTAAGTTACTTTCAACCTTAAGTTGCACATAGATTGGCATTTTACTTATCCAGTCACACTGGTTTTTCTGTGATTGCAGTAAATAAGCGTGTTCTTTAGAAAAATACCGTTCAAGAATATTAACTAATATTCACTTGGTGTTGTTTACTTGTATCTTCCCATTGTTATTTAGCACTACAATTGATCAGTCACATATTGGCATATGTGCATCCTATGCGGATTGCCTCGATATCGCCTAAAGTCACAAGCTTTATAAGCAAAGATGGATAGTGACTAGCAGTGAAATCTAGTTTGACGCGCATTTCGTCCTATTTGATGCAGGTACATCCAGCTGACGAGTCTCAAATGGGATGAAACGCTCGTCCTGCATTTCACTACTAGCCACTATCCATCTTTGTTTAGTGTCAACTAATGTTAAATATTTACCCTAGTCAATATTTTATATATTTCATGTTTCAATAAATCTTTTCTTCATTGATAACGTGCTGGAAAAGTCTAATGAACGTTAGATAGAAGAAAGAAAGCTGTTGACAAATTTCAGGATAAAGGAAATCAAGAGATAATGCTCAGTTAAAAAAGAACCCCACTGAATACACTTTGTGATACCAAATAGATTTGAGAGTTATGCAAACATATTTGTTTATTATGCTGAACTTCTATGCTTAATGAACAATGAGTATGAAAATGTTTAGAAAGTCACTAATTTAAGCCTACAGTTCTTTAATAACTTATTATAAAATCAAGTAATGTCTAATATACAGCAGGACTCTCATGATGGTCAAGATTCAATTGACTCATGAATTCAGTTATTAACTTACTACAATCTCCACTAAAACTCACTCTGATTTTAATCATCATATGCTCTCTGGTGACTGTCACCAAGAGTTATTTCTTGTGGTTCTAGTCAGAAGCTTTGACCAGTGGAGTTCACCTGGGTCTGTTGTGAGATTGTAACTCACTGAAGACAATGGTGGATGTGTCGCTCGATTTCGTTGATTGGTTGAAGTTAGATAATAACACTGTTGGATGCCGGCAACTTCAGTCGTTCAGAGGTTAACTGTTTGTGCGCGTGACTGATAGATCCTGCGTTTGAATCTCGCGAGTCGGAATCGTAGATGAGCACTGCCAAGGAAGAGTTCCGCAATAGAACGAAACGGTCGTCCAGTGATTTCAGGTTTTCCATGATGATGTAGCTTCAATAAACTCATGAATTCAATTATTAATTTACTATAATGTCCACCAAACTCTTCTTTGAATACACAAGTTAATAATTTACAGAATTGTAGAACGAGTAAAAAGTGGGTAAGTCATTATTCACAGTTTAATAGAAATCTGTTTTTATCTTACTTTATAACTTACAAATGAAGGTGAGACAATAATTAATGGATGATCTTTGAGAAACGCTAAAGTGACCTTGAGAATATCCACCTACTAACTAGGACTACATGAAGATTTTAAAACTGTGTGAAGGATAAGGATTGTGATTTACGATTGATGGTTAAGAATAGGCATTAGATTCAGTGTCTTCATCACGAACTAACATCAACTATAATACCAAACCTCTATTTACCCAAATGGATGAATAAATTTCACGTTAAACTCCAAGACCTATTATCCTAAATCTGATTGGTTTGTCCATTTGCTCAGGAGTAGTAACAGTTATGAAGTTTAAGAACTGAATTAATCAATAATTTATTAGACATCCCAACAATATTCACTGCCTTATCAATAAAAAAATGCCTTAATGTTAAGCAATTTCAATTCTACAAAAAAAAGAAAAAAAACACTTTATTCACTATGGTTTTTATGTATTGATAGCATATTCTCAGCCATGTGTTGATAATGTTATATCTAGACCTTAGATTCTTAATATATCGTGTACAGCTTGTGCACTTGAACGCTAGAACCCTCCAAATCGCAAATGAGAGGAAAGAGGAAAAGTGAAACGAATGCTATTCCAATCAGTGTCAATTATGGTATTGATAGTTTTTAGGAAAAACGAAATCATCATTATAGTCCTGCAATCCGTATACAGGGGGATTATTAGCATTTTTCCAATAGAGAAGCTCCACGTAAGGATTCTGGAAAATTCTCTCAAAAGATGATTGGATGGAATGTTTTTGGCTTTTTTTTGAGCTTCTCATAGTTTCCTCGAGTTCATCCGTTGGCCGTCCTCACAGATAGAATAGACGTTTATATCTAACAAAAACGTTTTCGCATCGACTTACTTGTGATCTTATCAACCATTTTTCCAAAATTATTTAAGTTTTTTCTTAATAGTTTGCTTGACACCACTTATACCTTTACAGAATAATGTATATTATGAATGGGTAACATTAAGGAGCTACAAATTTTTATCGTTGTCACTAAGTAGATATTATTCAGTTCATTAACAAATACCGTTATAATGTTCAACATATACACCATCGCTTGGTGTTGTTTTACTTGTAACTTCCCATTGTTATTTAGGACTACAACTGATCAGTCACATGTTAGCATATATGGATCCTGTGCGGATTGCCTCGATATAGCCTTAAGTCACAAGGCTTTTAAGCAAAGATGGACAGTAGCTAGTAGTGGAATCCAGTTTGACGCGCATTTCGTCCTACGTGGGGCTCGTCAGCTGGATGTACCTGCATCTCAGAGTTGATGTCCACTTCAGGATTCGAAGTCAAAAACGCGATGGCGTTTGAATCTAGTATCAGAGTGAACATCCACTCTGTGATGCAGGCACATCCATCTGACAAGTCCCAAATAGGACGAATTGCGTATCCTGGATTCCATCGCTTCCTATTATCCATATGTACACCATCAGTTTACATTTTTCAGAGTGTTCTACTTTGACTTATAGTAAGTTTATTACATGTCTGTACATTTATAAAGATGTTTCACTGTATGGATTTTCTGTAATGGTTTATTGAACGGATGTGGTATTATGATTACTTATAATCTGTCATAAATCATTGAAAGTTTAATTTGTTTAAGTTTAATTACCTTAACTTAATTAGATATTTTACTTAACAGTTGAGACACTGAATCATACATTGATTAACTGATGCCACAGTCGAGAATAGACTACGAGTTTTTGATCGCCTAGATCAGCTGCTACCTGGAAAACATCAGTACAATGTTCTGAGTTTTCTTCGTTAAACTTTTGAAGTGAAGACAAATGACCATTTCGTGTCTACTGAAAATTTCATTGTAGCAACTTGCATTGATGTAGCTTAGGTTAACAAACTTATATCGAAATAGGATCATAAGAGTGATCTGCATAGAATCCTATGCAGGAACCGCTAATTATAGTAGGTTGTTGTTGATGATAATATCTGACCAACGGATCCAAAGTATTTTGCATAGACAACTTCACAATGAATAATTTGTATCATCATAACATAATTGATTTTACAAAATTACTATGTTATATTTGTTCTTTTTTTTTAGTTTATTGTTATATAACTGGTTAAGAAGTTGCATTCTAGATACGGAAAATCTTCGTGAAGTATTCTATCCAAGTGAATATGATGATGCATAAATTGTAATATAACTTTGATGTAATTGCATAAATCAAGTAAATCAAGTACACTATAACTATGAACAAGTTCTAAATCTCGAAATAGTAGTTTCTATTGTCTTATGATGAAAGGATTACGTAAAGAAACCTTAATTATCATTATTGACATTACTGTATGGTATCAATGAGGTCAAAGAATTGATATTTGACAACACTGTATTCAGAAAGGGGTTTTTGTGAATAATATAGTCATTTTAACAGTTGAAATCATGAGTTAATTAAAGGTAGACCATCATGGAAAACCTGTAAGCACTGGACGGCTGTTTTATCCCAATGTGAGACTCTTTAGCAGTGCGCATGTATGATACCGCTCAAGGGATTCAGTGCTTACAGATTTATTCGTTTCAATGAAAAATTCTAGAGTTTAAGCGGTTTCACATGAGATTGAAGGTTCTGAGAACGAATCCTGCGCATGGGACTATGGATTTACGCTATTGAGAAGTCTCACATTAGAATGAAACGGTCATTCAATAGTTCTAAGTTTTCAATGATGATGTAATCATCAATCGATTTATAACTTCAATTAAAATGATTAACATTTTCTTATCAAATAGAATTCTTACACATTTAGAGAGGGATTTTGTGGAGATTGTAGGAATTTAATTATTGAATTCATGAGTCAATTGAATCTAGTCCACTATGGAAAGCCTGGAAGCACTGGAGGACCGTTTCATCCTATTGTGGGACTCTTCAGCATTGCGCATCCACGATTCCAACTCACGAGATTGCAACCCACGACCTATCGGTGTTGAGCGCGAACTCTTAACCTCTAGAACACTGAACTTGCCGACATCCAACGATGATAATGTCTAACTTCAACTAGTAGACAGAATCAAGCCACACGTCCACCAGAGTCTTCAGTGAGTTACTATTTCACAACAGACCTGGTTGAACTTCACTAGTCACTGTTTTTCACTAGAACTCTATAAGACACCTATTGAGACCGACAGGTGTAGGGTTCGAATCCCACAGGGCGGTATCGTAGATGCACACTGACGAGGAGTCTCCTATTGGATTAAAACGGCCGTCCAGTACTTCCAGGTTTTCCATGATGGTCTAGCTTCAATTGACTCATGATCTCAACTATTAAAACACTGTATTCATTTAGTACTTACCTAATCATGCGTAATATACTTTGATATAGGACACTAGTGTGCCTGGCGAAAACTACCGGAACATTTACATACTCGTCCATACATTGATTATCTGATAGTTTATTGCTTTAAATATGTAGAAAGATTTTTATTGAAGTAAAAAGAATTTATACATCATACTATTCTGCAAAATGTCACTAAAAATCATACTGTGGTGTGCTACTGATATCGAAAGATACAGGTAGTATGTATTATCAATGGAAATTGAAATGCTTAGAGGTAGACGGTTAAGAAAATCCAGGAAAAGAGAACGAAAACAAAGGATGATTAGTGTGGAAACGAAAGAACAATGAGGTCTGAGACGACTGACTAATATTTTGCATACGGAGTATTCACTGTATGATACTCGGATTTTACTAAGAGATTCTGTAATTTTGTATTCAAATACATTTGATCGTCCCCTACTTGCGTTCTTCTTAATGGGGATTCGAAATATATTCATATCATCAGTATTATCGCTACTGACTTTTGAAAGTTACGTAATTTCAAGGAGTACCGAAGTAATCTGTAATTTACTGTCGAAAATAAATTTTCATAGACCAATACATTAAATGTACTATAAGACGGTCAGTGTATAGGTAATCAACTTGGACGGTGACAATACTTAAATTTCCATAAGTTCTGCCCATTGCAATACAAGCGAGGCTTGATTAAGTGTCTCTTTAAGAGTACTTACAGAATTTCCACTGCTGAAACGGTTGAAAAAGATGAAAAGTTACTGACTGACACTTTAATAGCAAATAGTTATCCACTAAAGTTTATTAACAGGTGCAAAAGTCAGTTAATGCCAAGACCTCTTGTTTATTCAGTTCCATATAGAGGTGAATCCAACAGTATAGTTTTAAGACAGAGATTGAAAGCAGCCATCGAGAATACCTATTATGCTGCTCAATTGGTTGTGATTGAAAAGTCTAAGCCCATGATTCCTAATAGACCCAGAGAATGCACTAATGATTAGGTCACATCCCATTGTATTTACCAATTTACATGTTTGTGTGGATAGACATACATAGGGAGGGGTAATCGAACCAAAGGTCATTGAACATGTGATTAGATGGCTTCAAAACTAATTAGTGTCAAGTGATCCAATCAACATAGGTTGTAGAAAACCATGTTCACCAACAGCGAAACATATAACTGAAACGGGGCACAAAATTGACATTAATACAGCTTTTAGAACGTTGTATAGAAATTGTCAAGGACGAATTCTTAAGTTGATTGAAGCCTTGGCTATTCGTAAATTTAGACCCCAGTTATTTGTATGAAAACAATTTGTCATAATCCTGGTAATCCTTAAGTCATTCGATGACCTAGGATAACGCGACAATTTCTTATTCTTTCTATACAATGTAGAATGTTTCTCTTACCTTTTTTTACCTTGACTTTTATTAATCTGCATATAAAATAGCCTGACAAGTATATGTGTGTGATCAGATTGTTCGAAATGTATAGCACAAATACATCACATTTTCATCAGATCAACTCCGTCTTCTCATTGTTCTATCGCGACATTAAATGTGACAATACTTGTGATTTAAGGTAATATCAAGGCAATTCGTACGTAATACACATATGCCAATCAGAGACTGACCAATAACAGTCTCAAAATATCAATGGGGAGATTCAAACAAACTGTATTTGATAAGAAAGTGATGAAGTGATGTAGAAAACTCCTCGAAAAGAAGCCAAAAATAACTTTGAAAACATTGCAAAGCACCTTATCCAATCAGTATACACTAGAAGTTGTGCCAGAAACATCTAGAAAGTAAAAAGTCACATGTCAAGTTTCTCATTGGTTGATTACTTATATTGCTATTATGTTTAGTAGCGTCCCGGGATTTTCCATCGGGAGTCAGTAACTAAGTGGATAACGCAATGGATTTTGAAACGTACAACACTTGGTTCGAGTACTGGAATGAGCATCAACTCTGAGATGCAGGCACATCCAGCTGACGAGTCCCACATAGGACGAAACGCGCATGATTGGCTGCGTAGAATGCCCTGGTGATTACTTTCGTTAACCTATATTTCAGAGTATCACTGACCACATCCTCGTTAAATTGTAGTTTTATGTATAAAGGTTTCTTACGAACAGTCGAAATCTCCGACTTCATTTATTATGTCATACATGTACTTCTTAATGAAAGCACTGGGATAGCCGATCTCGGTCAGTGAGTTATTGATAACTTTCAGCTCCTGACTTAAAGTATCTACTGTACAGATCTTTTTAGCTCTGCTAGTGAGACATCTAACCAAATTTCTCTTGTAGCGGATAGGTGTGAAACTATAGAAGTGAGTATATTGGCAGGCAAAGGGGCTTTTTCTATGCACGCTTCTACTTAGTGTGCCATCACTTCGTCTGCTTAGTGTGACGTCAAAGAAGTTCAGTTTTTTATCATAATCGCTTTCATCAGTGAAACTGATCACCGGGTCAACACTGTTGAATTGTTCTAAGAGTTTTTCCTTACTGGCGTTTTGATCTACGATAATGAAAGTGTCGTCAATGTAGCGGCAATAGAAATCAAGCTTCTTAATAATCTCATTAAGAAGTCCATTTTCTAACTTTTCTGGGAAGAGATCAGCTAAAATCGGGCCTAGAGGTGAGCTTATGGCTATCTCGTCTAATTGTTTATAATAAGTATTGTTGAAGACAAAATGGACACTCAGGGTGCATCTTAAGAGCATTTCCTTCAGATTATCCTTCAAGCAAACCAATGTTGATTTGTTTTTCTGATATTTGCTTGCATATAAGCTCAATAGTCTCGATAAGTGGTATGTCAGTAAACGAAGATACTACATCCACTGAGATCATCTTTTTCATACTAACATTCATATTTTCTACTTTGGAGGTGAAGTCGAAGACTATTTCTAATAGATGATTTGTGCAAAGGCTCTAAGATCCGCACTAGCCACTTTGCAATTTTATGATAAGGAGAATTGTACATATCTAGAACTGGGCGTAGAAAAAGACCTGGTTTATGAACTTTAGGCAGACCGTACAGTCGCGGTGTAAATGATCCAGTCGGCTTAATTGAATCATGAATCTCAGTCGTAATTGTTCCCTTTTTCTTTAAATCCTTAAGGAAATTAGCCAATTTTTTTCTACTTTATTATTAATGTCATAATTACTAGTAAGTTTCTAAAATTTGCTAGGATCACTAAGAATTGCTACCATTTTTTCAATATAATCCTTTTTGTTCATCTGAAATATACCTCCTCCTTTATCTGGTTTGCTTATGATAAGCGTTTCATCTTTTCTTAGTTTCGTTAAAGAGTTTCAGTGCTGCTTGGTTCGTAGGTGATTTGTGGTACCCTTACTATTCTTGTATTGTTGGTAGCTATCAACTAACGTGGTCTTAAACCGAACAAGATCCTCCAATGAGATAGGAACCAAGTCAGTTGTTTATGAAAACAAATTCTCTAATTGTACATCAGTATCTAATTGGTTGATTCTATGCCTAGTATCAAAGAATATAGGCCCCAGAGATAAAGCTTCTAACTGTAGTTCAATATTTGAAAAATTATGTACGTACCGTTTCGGGTCGAAAGGAATTTATTTTCACAACAATCCAATATTTGGAAGCACTGGATCCTGCTATCAATATTACGGATGGTCACTACTGATGAGTCCCATATTAGGACAAAATACCTGTCCAGTGATTCCAGGGTTTCTATAGTGGTCTAGCTTTAATCGACTCATCAAATCCAACTATTATACTAAATTGAATTTGTTAATATTGACAATTCAACAGGTCTGGTAAGATACTGAACTTTGTCATTTGAATTGATTTGTCATATACTTTAGTA